AATTGAGTTTGGGGCCAGGAGAAGATGGCTGTTGGACCAAGGGTCATCATAGCCCTGCTGAGAAGATTCCCACAGAAGTTACCCGTCCCCTTCTGCTTAGCTGAGGGAGATGTGCCTGATTATATTTTGACCTTTTAATTTTACTGCACTCTTGTCATAGCTCAAGATAAAAGAGACAAGTACTTAAGTCTGAAGTATAGGGCAACAGTTGCTTTAGAACAAAGGACTCTTTCGACAGACTTTCCACTTCCCTTTTGGTTTTTTCTTCCCCTTTCCCTTTCCCTTCCTTTTCATGACATTAGCATTGCAAATTGATCCTTCATTAATAACCTTTTTCTTCCCTTGTGAAAGCCACACAGGAAGGAAAATCTGAACCTCTGTCATGGTGTGTTATGAACTGCTAAGTAGCTGTACTTTTTACACAGTTTGCTTCCCAGGGGACTTTAAACTTAGTTTTATAAACAGATTTGTCACTCTCAAGCACAAAAATCCAGCCACCCACTCATGTGATCATTCTATGATTATGGGTCAAATAAAATAGCCTGGTTGTTTTTATTTTGTGCCTAGAGCAGCAAAATAGTACTGCCACAATATGATAAATAGACTTTTTATAACATGTGTCTGATCCAAGGATACCTAGAGGTTTCATTTGATTTACCTTGTAATAAACCAAATGAGTAAGTATTTTTTCAGGTCAAAAACCCAGTTTGTGTATTTATTGCAGTCCCTAGTACTTTGGATATTTTTCTCTGGATAGTAAAAGGAACAAATCTGGCCCATATTACAAAAATGTCTGCAGGGATCATAGAAGAGTGTTTGTGTTAAGCAGTACAGGTACTGAAAGTGAGCATGTTTTGTTTTTGGTACCAGGGATCAAACTGGGGACCTTGCACTTGCGAGGCAGGCTCCGGAACCACTGAGCTAAAATCCCCAGCCCTGAAAGTGAACATGTAACGAAAGCTACATCCATGGCAGTAGCTTTCTGGGTAATATGCTATTTTTATGTGTGTGCCAAAATCTACAGAAATCAGTAGAAAATAGGAGTAGGACTATGTCGTGATTACCCTTTCATGTGTAAGGTACCCCCATCCATAGTGAAATTATTAAATTCAATTTGACACTCATCAGCTTTAAGAAAAACTATACCTAAATTCTGTCAGACATTTACATATAAAAATTACTTTATGGCCATCCTTTGTGGACTATATAAGTGTCTTCTTAAAAATATATGCTACATTTCATTGCTTTCAATAAAATTATTTCCACAATAGTAATACAGTATTTTGTTCCCCCAGTTAGGGGGAAATTTTTCAAATAAAATCATTTCTACTGACCTTGGCATATGTAAATGCATATTCCATGAACCTGCTTCAAGTGAGCTCTTTATATGTGTTAGATTAAAGATATCACATAAGGCCCAACCCGAATGTGGTCAAAATTGAAGGGTATCACAGTGGAGATGGTAAACTTTTTCCTGGTTTTTTCCCCAGATTTAAAATAAATTATTGGTTTTTCGTTTTGTTTGATTTGGGTAGGAGATGAAATAAGAAAATGCTAGTTACTTGGCGAAGTATCTCACAGTCTAGGAAGCCCTCCAGAGCTGAGACCTCCTAAAGAAACATTAAATTCATGCCACTCCTTTTAGTCCTGTGTTTCCTGAGCAGGGTGGGGACAAGGCGGGCCAGGAGCCTCTGTTTATGTTCAAGTATTTTGTTCACTTGCTTTGAGTCTGCTCCATCTGTACACAGAAGCTAGTTCCATTGTGATACCATTTATATTTCTTGTTTATTGTCTATTTATTTTAACAAGTACGTTTTAGAACTCACCAAACCTTTTGTCTCCTTAGGCTAGATAAAATACATAAGCCTTTATCTAGTGCCATCATATTGTTGACAGTTAATCAGTGCTCATCGTTTTCCTCTCTCCCTGGGAGATCTCATCTCTCCCTGCAGTCTTGGATTTTACCTTGGTGGGAATACATTCCCAAAGGGAGCCTAGCTCTGTCCTTTCTAGTACATTACAGTCCTTGTCTGAGTGTAGGGAGCTGGACTTCCTCTCCTTAAATGCATGGCATCTACAGTAGGTTCATCACCGTGTCCCCTGCTTTTCCCTGTCTTAAGATAGAGAGCCAAATTCAAGTGTGAGCTCCACCAAATTCTCAGTTACCTTCATGAGCACACCACCTAACCGTCACATCGAGATGTTTTAGGTACAAATGCTTTTTAACTCCCACTTCTTTGGTTCATTCAATGAAGAGCTTAACTTCCACAATGGCCTAATTATTGTATGTGATTTAGATAAATAATACTAGTCGCCAGGGTGTAGCCCTATGGCAGAGTGCCTGCCTAGCATGTGAGAGACCCTGGCTTTCATCCCAGGGCTACAAAAAATAAATTAATAAATAAGTTACCTAATGAGTGGCTATGATTTACCAGCTGTGAAACAGGTGGTGAATTGATCCCCGGTACCAAAAAAAAAGAAAAGAAAGAAACAGGTGGTGAACACGGTTAGACAACATTCTTGTTTTCATAAACCTCAGTCTTTTAGAGGATCAAGACAAATGAACAGGCAGTTATAATATAGTGTGATGAGTCCCTAGAAAATGGAAGTACAAGAAACACATGAAATTCGTGCCTAACCCAAACTTGCTATACCAGGGAAGCCTCCTTTAGGGTGTATCCTAACTGAATCCTAAACAAGAAGTGAGAATTAGACAGGTGAAGAGAAGACAGGAATGTTCTTGGAAAAGCAAACTGTGCGGTGAGGATGTGCCATGAAGGAGAATCTGTCACATTGCAGGCAGCAGAAGATTCCTGTACGGTGCAAAGTGAGGAGGTTAGGGCTCCAAGTGCAATCTGTATGAACTCATCACAGAATGTGCCTGTGATTCTGTACGCAGTGCAGAAAGAACGAGTCTCCTGGTGGGAGGGGGCCAGTGTTTTGAAGGGTGCCCCTTGTGGACGTTGATGCTACCCCAAGGTTATGGCAGGAATTGAGGTGAGGGAATGACAGGAACAGGTGCTAGTCTTTGAGCCATGGTTCTCGCCAGGGCGGCACTGCCCATTAGGACCATTTGGACCATTTATGAGGTTACTTCCTTCTTTCTTTTTCTTTTTTATGTACAAATGGCCCAGGGCCCGGCAGTGTAGGCTTGCCATTTCTGTGGAACAAGGACCTGACCTGCATCCTATAAGCCCTCCAAATGTTGGGCCAAACCTTCAGGAACTGAAAAGCTAACTTCGTATGCGGAGAGGTTTCAAGATGAGAGAGCTTTCTGCAACCCTGACTCATACTGAAATTCAGATTGTTTCATTCTAAATTACATTCTGTCTTCCACATATTATTGTTAGGGAAATACATGAATTTGAAAGGGGTAACGGTATGTGTCTATCAGTTCCACTTCAGCATATCAGTGGGGTGTTATGGAGTATTTATCATAAAAGAAAGAGTTGAGAGCCACTATCTTACAGAACAAGGGACAGTTGCCGAGAATTGGTATCTGACAGTAGGTGGGGCAAGGTGGTGGTGAATGATCCCAGGGGAACAGGTGCTTTCACCTAGAAGTGCGGAACCTAGAAGCAGCAGCAGAGGAGAAAACCACCGTCCCAAATGCCTGCCTCTTCATCTTTGTTCAGACTCCTCCCTCCTCCCAGAATCTCCACCCTACTCTCCATCCACCTTTATCACATCTGGCATTGAGCCTGAGGCTTTTTGAAGATTGCTTTGACCCACCTGGGCTGGAAGAAGAGACGGCGGGTGAGGGGATGGGCAGTCAGTACCTGGGCTCTGTGCTAGGCATGGAGCCTGTGTTCTCATCTGTTCCTCCCAAGAAGGAGAGCGTTACCATGCTTAGTATGAGAATGGCATCTGGTCAGGCTCCAGGCCTTCACTTTGTCCAGTGTCACAGGAGCAGGAACAGCAAGTGGAAGCCTGGCTCAGGACAGGCAGCCCTGTATTCCGTGTTCTGTCCATTGGACCACGCAGTCCTTCCGTAGAGCCTCATGGCAGAGTTGAGCAACACTGTGAGGTGGAGAAAGAATGACGGCTATTTGGAGCTTCAGCCTTTCCCACTTCAGATTTCAGCCTCATATTTGAAACCATTCTTTGTCCTTTGGGCCCCAGTATCTTAATCAACCAGTTATTTTCTTTGAAAACAGATTGCATTTATCATCTTTTATTACCATACCATTACCACATGCCCTACTCCTCATGGGTATGCCGTACTTAAATGGGTAAGGTCTGTGCCCATTTCTAGTCCTAAGGAGCACCTGAAAATACACAGTGTAGAAGGCTCCAACAAAGGTAACTATGGTTTTGCAAATTTAAAATGTGTAATTTGAATTTGCATCCAAAATATGGTCAAAGTCAAAGATTTTCTTTCATAAAGATGTAAAACTCTAAAATTGAAATTATTCTCTAGACTGTGTAATTCTTTTGGGGGGAGTGTACATAATTTTTAAGCTCTTGTGTGTATCAGTATTTGTTAATATTTTCAGATATGATTATGTTCCATTTAAAACATTTCAACACGCCTGCCTCACAAGCTCAAGGACCTGGGTTGATCCCCGGTACCACCAAAAAAAATAAATAAATGAAAGAATGAAAGCAAGCAAGCAAGCATTTCTGACATTTTTGAGGGATTTAAATTTTAAAAGTAAAAAAGCAACAAAAGAAGCTGGGTGTGGTCACACATGCCTGTAATCCCAGTACTCAGGAGGCTGAGGCAGACGAATCGCTACAAGTTTGAGGCCAGCTTGGGCCACGTAGTGACTCAAGGCCAGCCTGAACTACGCAACAAGCCCTGTCTCAAAAAAACAAAAAACCAACAAAAATTCTAGCTGTTTTTTTTAAAAATCTACAACTTAAATAGATATAACCACTTTACTTGGAGTGCAAGATTGGACCCCTGTTCTCAGTCCGCCTTAGGGATTCATCTCCATTGCAGCAGTATTAAACTGATGTACTGTTTGGTAATGAAGTTCTGCTCTCCTGTTTTTCAGGTCCTGTTGGAGTCGGGCTCAATGAACTGAAGCGGAAGCTGCTGATCAGTGATACACAGCATTATGGTGTGACGGTGCCCCGTGAGTTTTGAACTATTCAGTGCTCCTCTGATCCGACCAGTAACAGTTGACTCCATGCTTACCAAGCACGAGTAGTGCTAGATGGGGTTCTGAGTCCTCACCTTCCTGCCTCCCTCAACCCTGTGAAGTCTATGCAGGACACTGTCCACATTTTACAGAGGAGCAAACTGAGGCACCAGAGTTTAAGGGATTTGCTCTTGACTACACAGATCATTGGCAGGGTCTCTGTTAACTGCAGCTTCTCTACTTTCAGATTTTTATGATGAATTTTAGTACATGGATGACATCAACTTACTATTTACAGATTTCCTCAGAAGTAAAAGTCTCACTATGCTATTTTGTAAAATAAGTGCTAATGTTTTCCAGTTTTTCATCAGTTTTACAAGTAGAAGGACCAAACCACAGCGAGCTAAAGCAGGCTTTGCATAACACGAACTTTGCTTAATTACCTTTTCTCTGTAGTAATTGGCAGGTATGTTAAATGGCTTTTCATGGCTCTGTAGTCCAAACACGGTAGGCTTCTTTTCAGTTCACAGAATTAGACCTATTTTTATGTAAGTGGTTTTCATAGGCATTCTTACAAATGAAACATGATGCTTGAAACATTTTGATCTCCAGAATAAATGCCATTTGACTACTTAATATGTTGATGTTAGAAAGCTGTCTAAAAGGCTAAATTGAAATGTTGGCATTTTCAAGTGGTTTTAGTACTGTTTTTTTAAAAAAATCACTTGTATATTGCCTTCAGCAATGTTCTGTAGTTTTGGAAGAGATCAACTTCATTTTAAAATTATAGTTTTCTTTTACCTCAGGTTACTTCTTGTTACTACATTTTCCCAAATTATTGTTTATAATCATTTTCAGCTATAAGCTACAGGACTGGTGGTTTCCACCAAAAGAGATGAAAGTAAAGGAAAATGTGGAATTACAGTTTCTTTAATTCAGTTTTTTTAAACAAAAGTTGAATTGCGATATACAGGTAATCCAAAAAATTTACAAATTCAAGTTATGCCTACAGATGAATACTTACAGAAGAAACCTAGAAATTTCTGCAAAGCCAGATTGCAAAAGGAAAAATAAATGTATTAATTTCCTACTATATATTCATTTCCTTTTTTCATCCTTTTTTTTTCTTTTTTGTTACCGGCGATTGAACTGTGGTCCTTGCGCTTGTGCAACAGGCAGCGAAACCACTGAGCTAAATCCCCGGCCCTTTTCATCTTAATTTATGCAACACTACCAACATCAGTATAAGATGGCTGATATTTTCTCCGTTTCATAGAGAAGGAAACAGAAAGAGTATTCTGACGTACTCAGAGATCCTCGGATGACAGTTGCACTTGAATTTGAAACTAGGTTTTATGATACCATTTCTTAGATTCTTCCTCTTGTGTACCACTAGGAATCCTTTCAAACTACAGATTCTTTATTGAATCTAGTGAGCAGCAAAACTGATTTCTTTTGAAGATGATAAATATTAATAAGGCTATCTATCAAATATAACCTTCTACGATAGTTTTAGCATTAATGAAGGTCCTAGAACAAGGTGCTTTGGCCTCAGTTTACCCAACTACTAAGGTAGTATTTGCTTCTGAAGTTATTAGAAAAGTTGACAATATCCAGAAAGGATTAAACTCTGTAAAGAAGTCCTGAGAATAGTTATTTATACCATGATTTGCTTTGAAACAGGTATTAATGTCAAACAATTCTGAGATAGCAATGTTTTCTAGACTTGCCTGCTAAATAAGAACTTTGTTGGGTTTTTAGGAAAATATGCTCAAGACTCTGTATTTATAGCAAGCATCTGAGGTGATTCATAGTATCAGACACATTTAGAAAATACAACCAGAGCATCAATTCAGGGTGATTTAATTAGTTCAAGAAGGACATATCTTAAGAGAAATTCTGGAATTTTCAGTTTTTTTCTTTGTGAAATACTTTGGACAGAGTCTGGAATATTGGATAAAAATTACTGCTTTGATTGTACTACTACTCTATTTGATATTTCATTCCATAGTTCTCCTTTCTGAAACAAAATATCCACCGTAGAAACAGATGTCAACCAATGGAACTCTTGCACGTTATTTGAAGGGAGTATAAATTAACATTTTGGAAAACTGAGTAGCCATATCTACTAAAGCTATATAAACACACACCATGTGATCCAGCTGTTCCACTCCTGGTTATAAACCCAACAGAACAGCATGTGTTTGTTTACCAATAAGCCATGTACTCAGGTATTCTTAAAAGCATTACTCACAAGAGCTCAAAATTAGAACAACTCCAGTGCTCATCAGCAGTAGAATGAATGAATAAATTAGGATGTATTATGATACATTCGCACAGTTGAATACTAGAAGTGTATATTATGAGTACTTTTACAGTTACAGAAAAGCAATTGTAATATGTACTCTTTTACTCATTCTGTAAATCTCTGCCATTTAATTGGTCTATGTTGACTATAAGCATAGACTGAATTGTGAAAATTAATTTAAACAATGATTTTATTATTTTCTGTTTGTCTTTTCTGTGTTTCATTTTCTTCTGCCTTCTTTTGGATTTTCTGAATGGTTTTTAGTATTTCATTTTAATCTACCTCTCAACTCTCAACTCTCTGGTTTGTATGTCTTTGCATTAATTTTTTAGTGGTTGCTCTATGGATTGCTGTATGCATAGCTAACCATTTAAAGATTATTCCTGCCTTAATGTTTATTGCAGTTAGTGAGTGTATTTTTATTTATTGAAAACTCTTTCAGACGATACAACTTTTACTTTAAAACATAAATATTTTGATGAATTTAAGAGGAAAAAAAAGACTTTATATTTACTCAACTACTTATTCTTCATTTCTGAAGATACAAGTTTTTTACTTATCATTTCTCTTCACCCTAAAAATACTCTTGAGTAGGGCCAGGGATTTAGCTCAGTGGTTTTGCTGCCTGCTGTGCAAGCGCAAGGACCTGAGTTCGATCCCCGGTACCAGAAAAAAAAAATACTCTTGAGTATTTCTTTTTAAAATATATTTTGAAAAAAAAAAGAAAAGAAAAAAAGAATAAGATATATATATATATATTTTGTATTTTTATATTATTGTTTATTAGGGCATTTTAGCTATACAGAAAATGGGTTTTATTTTGGTATATTTCCTCAAATATTTCTTTTAGAACAAATCTTCTGGGAAATTTATATTAGTTTTTCCTTATGTGAGAATGTTTTTATCTTGTCTATCTTCCTGAAAGGTATTTTGGTTAATAGGTCTTTTCTTTCAGTACCTTAAAGATATTAATTCGTTAATTTCTTGTTTTTATGACCTATGGCAGGAAATGTATGATAATTTAAATCTTCCCCTTATATGTACTGTATTTCTTCTAGTTGATAAACTTTTTATATATCTTTGGCTTTTACTATTTGATTATTATGTACCTAGGCATGGTTTTTTAGTGAATTTAACCTGTTGAGATTTGCTGAGCTTCTGAAATCTCTAAGTTTATTTCTTTCACTAATTTTGGAAGCATAGAGGTTATTATTTCTTCAGATATATTTTTTCTGCCCAATTCCTTTTTTCGGTTCCATCACCCCAGTCATACATATGGTAGACATTTCCATATTTCCACTCAGCTCTCTGGATTTTTATTTATATTTTTGAAATCTTTGTCCTCTTTTATTTTCCACATTATATAATTTTTTATTGATTTGTCTTCAAGTTCACTGATACTTTTCTCTTGTCTACATTCTGCTACCAAGCCCATGAGATACTGCATTTTTTTCAGTTCTAAACTTTCTACTTTGTTTTTAGAGTGTCTGTTTTTCTGTTAAATATTCATATTTTCATTCAATTCAAGCATCTTTTTCTTTACTTTATGAAACATAGTTCTAAGAGTTGCTTTAAAGCCTGTTGTAATTCTAACTTTGGGTCATTCAGGGTTTCCAGCTGTTATTTTTCTTCAGGAGAATTGGTTATATTTCCTTTGTTGTTTTATGTTGAATACTTTTGGATGGTGTTCCAGATATTATGAATGTCATGTATTAATTCTAGGTCCCATCATAATGCTCTGGGGAATGTTGATGTCTTTAGCAGGTAATGAGCCAGTTTATGCTTGGACCCTGAGCTCTCTTTCCCTACATTGCTGCATTGGATGGGGTCTGTCCCAGCTCAAGGATTCGCCTGTGCATAGTTCAAATCTCAGCTCAGTTCTCTAATGCCTTTTTTAATTGGTTTGAGTGTGTTCCATGCTCATTTTTTAAGGATTAGGCCGAGATTTGTGTATTTGATCTCAATTCCTTTCTTAGAATACTTGTAGTTTTTTAATTTTTGTTTTCTGTTTTTTTTAATTTGGAGACACCGTCAGCTAATACTTGTGTACTCTCATCTCAGTTCGCTTCCAAGTTAAGAACTGAAACCTTTGCTGTGCTAGTTTGAATCTGAACTGCTAATATAAGGGGAAGCGGTCATTGTTCTTAGACTAATGTTGGTTCACGCACAGATTTAAAGTGTTTCTTTCTCTGGATTTCTCCCTCCTGGATTCTTACCACACATTTCAATACTGAGGAGCTTTGTTCATCCCTGGTTCTTTTCACCAAAAAGTCCGGGCTTCTATTGGAGGTTGTCAGTGTGTTCCACCCTGCTTGGTGCCTCTGATGGTCCCTGCCCTTGCTGCAGAGCTAAGAGGAAGACAGAGTTAAATTCTCTCCCACACAGGTTGACTCCCTCCACAGTCTACCCATTTGCCCTGTGTTCACAGTGCTCAGACGGCGTTTTTGGGGTTCCGAGTTATAGTTAGTCAGCAGGAGCAGTGGGCTGTGGTGGTTTTGCAGTTGGTCAGCTTTGGTGCTGAAATTCTTGCCCATCTGCTCCTGCCCTACTCCTCAGCGCTCCCTGAGAACACAGGTGACAGTCCTCAGTGGGAAATAAGTTTACCCAAAGGGAGCTCCACAGGAGACAGAGGCCTCTGCCTCACATCCTGCCCTGTTGAGGCATGCAAGCTTTTATCTCCGGGAAGAGGGAAGGGTACAGTGAGACAGTGGACAGAGAACATTTCCTAGGCATTCTGTGCTCCTCCCCACCTGGAGGAAACTACACCTGACCAGATGTCCTGACGACCTGCCCACCCCTTCAGAGACCTAGTTTGTCCTTTTCTGTCCATTTATTGGGCTGATGAGAGGAGGGGTAGAGGTTTTTACCTTCAACCTGAGGAATTTTGGAAAAGCAGATTCTCCCCAAAGAAAAAAGTCTTAATTTTAAAGATCCGTTTTACTCTCTTGGTTACATTGTTACTGTTGTTGTCAAGTAATCCATCCCATTTACTAACGAATAATTTGCCACCTCACTTACTAAGAAATAATTAGGCAAAATTACTGAAAGTGTGGAAATTAAATTATATTCTAATAAGATGCTATTAAAATACATTCAGTAACTTCCTTTATTTCAGAGAACAAAATATTGATGGCAGACTACCATGTCCATGTGAGAAAGACAGCAGAATAATTTCAGTTTACCTAGTGGACAATAGACTTGCTTCAAAGAATAAAGATCAATAAAGATAATGAGCATATGATTTACAAAAGAAAGGAATTCTACTTTAAGGGTTTACAATGCCACTTGTATTTAATTATATTAAAGAGGCTTCAAACACAGTACAGTTGAATTTAAATCTGTCTTCCAATTTTAATAACAATGGAAAACCTGTATATATGACACTTTAACATATTTTATTAGATTATTTACCTTTGCACAAGTTTTTAAATCCTGTGTAAGAAAACTGCTTCAAATACACTTGAAGGGTTCTTTTTATAATATTTTCTTTAAGATGGCTAATGTAGTTTTTTTCTAAATTGTTTTTTATTAAATCACAGACACTACCAGAGCGAGAAGAAGCCAGGAGAGTGATGGTGTTGAATATATTTTCATTTCCAAGCACTTGTTTGAGACAGATGTACAAAATAACAAGTATGTGGTGGAAGTTTTATGTAACTATTGTTTTCTAAGCATGTGCCTGTACATTCAGTTTTAGATGACTTAGGGTTCTTCTCCCTTTAAAAATTATTTTAATTGTCATCATATCTGAAATGCATAAAAGTGATAAACTCAGTAGTTGTTACCAGTGTTTGCCTCTATTTTTAAAGAAGCTGTAGATAATTACATTTCTGTGACATTAAGTGTTCACAGTAGTGGTGAACCTGTAACAGACGTGCTGACCTTTTGTTATCATTGAATGCTCTGAAAGGTTTGCCCTCACTGGTTTAGGAAATGTTTTGCAGCCTGTCTTTGGTAATGTCTTATTGTAACTTCTCTCCAGCCCATTCATTTAATCTTCACCTTTAAGTGGTAGAATTTTATTTTGAAAACCAGTGGGTGACTATGTAATGTATTTCTGGATCTCTTTCATACACATACATCTCATTCTCACACTGCCACTTCATTAATTGGGAGAAGCTCTTATCCTGGATGTACTGTCTCCTCTAGCTAGCTCTTAAGTTTCCCCTCCAGTTTCCCATATGCTTAAGCACGAATATTTTAGGGTATCAGCAGCAATGTGTGTTTAATGCAGGATCGTGGGATTTTGTAGGAACATCGAAATGCTTTCTTTGTGCTTGGTGCAGTGATGGTGTTTTTATAGCACATAATTGGCTGTGCTGGTCCCATCGGCCACCGCCTAGCTCCTGGTACTCTGAAGCCGAGCGTGCTTGCTCTGTAGTGTGTAGTGAGATGTCAGTAGTTTCTATCGTTTCCCTGCTTCACTGCTTCATTGCCTTGCGTTACTTCTGAGAAAGGGGGAGATGGAAAACATTAGGGTTCCATTGGGCTACAGTACTTTTTTTTCCCGTCTTAAGTGTAATACAAGCAGGTGTTACTGATTTGAACATGTGGGATAGAAGAATTTTTAAAAATTGACATGCTGAAGTACTTGCCCTATTTTATTAAACACAGTAATAAAAAATTACATGTTCAGCCCAAATACTTTTTACCTTTGGTTGTTTTTTTTTTTTTTTTTGGGTACTGGGGATCAAACTCAGGACCTTGCACTTTCGAGGTAGGCGCAGCACCACTGAGCTAAATCCCCGGCCCTTATCTTTGAATTATATCCTGCCACCTATAATTTTTTAAATTCCCACATGATTCTGATGCATCTCACATTTTCTGCAGGTTCATCGAATATGGCGAATATAAAAACAACTACTATGGCACAAGTATAGATTCAATTAGATCTGTCCTGGCTAAAAACAAAGTTTGTCTGTTGGACGTTCAGCCTCATGTAAGTAAACAGAGAACTACCCAGTACCCTGGGGACCCATGGAATCTACTGCACTCCCTTTAAGCATTTCAGTTTGAGATAGAGAAATCTAAAGTGTATCCATGTCAGTATAATTTGAAATATCTTTGATGAAAAAAAGTGCCCATTATATTAAGAAAAAGCCCCAAGACCCATAACTCTTGTTTGTATTCAGTCAGGTTCAGTGACTCTTAGATACTTCTCTATTTTTCATAATTTAAAAAATACATTGTTATATGCGTAGTATATTTGATGTGTTATGTATTCTACATGTTAGTATGTGTATAATACATTTGATGTATTACATATTAAGTGTTTGTCATTTTTACCAGTGGACATTTTTATTCTCAGTCCTCTTTCTTTGATTTTAGCCACCTTTCTTTGATTTTAGCCCCAAATGTATTCTAGCAGTAGAGAACTCCACGGGGGTGTGGGGCATTGGCCAGGACTTGTTGGATGAGAGCTCTGAGACAGCTGTCAGGTAGAGCTGTGCCGCCACCCCTGGAGCTCCTATGAGCATCTGACTGAGGACGCCTTGTCTTACCATCTACTGTCCAGTTGGTGCCCAACACATAGCATCTTCCTGGTCCTTGGGGCCACAGATTCTCCTCCACTGTTGGGGTAACCTGGGCTGCACCAACTCCAGATGCCAGAAAGATCTGTAGGAGCTCTCGCACCTCTGAGGGAGTGTGAATCTGGAGGCAGCAGTGAATGGGAAGGCCCTGCTGAGCAGAAGTGCTCTGCTCAGGTTCTGGGTTGGTTCCCACCTCCCTCCCCCTAAGCTCTCACCCTTCTGTCAGCCACCTTGACCATGAATGGGTCCAGAGGCCGAGTGCGCAGTCCATAAGACCCTTGGGAAGGTGCGGGCAGGATCTACAGAGAGCAAGAGCATCCCGTTCTAGGCCCTCCAAGGGGCAGGAGGAAAGAGAAGGACCCCTGCTTGACACCGGAGAGAGGCCTATGGGATGATGAGGAGACTTCCGTGGGCAAGAGGTTGATTTCATCACATTCTTTAGGTGTTTGATCTAAAAATGAGTTTCATGGTATTTGTATCTGCTTGTGCTCAATATTGATGATGGTATATTTCAAATCATTTTAAAATACAAGTTATATTCTCCAGCTTCTTTTAAGGTCTTTGTTACCTTTACTTGTCAAAAACTGATTGAACAATAACCCTAATGAATTTTCTCCTCAGAAAAAAAACTTAAAAATGCATTAGGTTATGAAAAATGAGAAAACTTCTTTTCTTTCTAATAGACTGTGAAGCATTTAAGGACACTCGAATTTAAGCCCTATGTGATATTTATAAAGCCTCCATCGATAGAGCGTTTGAGAGAGACAAGAAAAAATGCAAAGATTATTTCAAGTAGAGATGACCAGGGTGCTGTGAAGCCCTTTACAGTGAGTACAATGACACTTGGTGATGATGCATAAAGTATTGTTATTGCATATGCACGCTGTGGCTACTCAGGGACCCTATTGAAGATGAAGTTGTGAACCAAAAACCTGTAGAAGGTAGAATTGCATTTAAGTACATATATTTTGTTTTGAAAATTAACTCAATCTTGAATGAAGCTACAAAATCTGCATTAATTTACATCTCAAGTTTATGTAATCTTTATGTGACATATGCAAAGTGTACATTGCAGACTGTACAGTACTGGTGTCTGTTGTCTACTTCTCCATGGTGGGTACACATATTGTGAACAACTGCATTCTAATTCCTTTTTGTGCTTCTGTGAGTGGATTTTCATATTAAGTTGACAATACTGTTTTATACTAATATATATATTAATATATATAATATGTTATATATATATATTATTCTCTAGGCCAGACATTTATATAAAAGCTAAATTGCAGATTACCTTTATTTTAAAGCTTAAAATCCCTGAATCAATTACTGTTAATTATTAATAGTCTAAATGAAAACTGTAAGAATGCTTGGTCTCCTGAAATCAGCAATTGTGTTTAGCATAACAAAAAGAAAAAAGCACCATTTGGGGCATAGGACTAGTGTGCTAATATTATTATTCAGTGGCATTTGTATTTCTTGAGAGTATTAATTGGAACTGGTGACTTTGCATGTTAATGCTCATGGCTTCTGGCAAGGCCTTTCATTGTTTTTGTTTTCAGTCTTCTCAAGATAGTGGATTCTACTTTGAATCAAAGATAATAAACAAGTTAAATGTGAAGATCATTTTTTCTCTTCTTAATTAGCTTATGTTTATTCTTAGTATTAATCTGTAAACTTAATTGTAGTTGCAAAGTAATAGATCATATTTTTGATTCTTAGTATTTGATCTTTTTTCTAAAATGCTCACAATATATATTTATGTTGAGTAGATGCTGTTGTGTGATATAGTTACGAAAAGCTCTTGATTAATGCTAAAAATTTTGTTATGAAATCATGTGACACTGAAATACGGACTCAAATTATCTCTGTATGTTTTAATGTGAAGAGTTATCATTATTTATAGTTTTAAAGGCTTCTCCGTGAAGGAATAAATGATAACATATCTTTGGCTTATTCACGTTTATATATATCCTTACATAATCTTGAGTTTTATAGCCAGCTAAAATATCTCCTGGTGTCGAAATGTAGCCACAAAGGGCTCCTGAAGCTCTTCTACTGAGCCAGAGGAGAGACATGGTAACTAGCCTTTCCTAATGTTTTCAAGTCTAAAAACATAGTTTGTGTTATAAATTCTTTCCTATGCATAAGCACAAACGGTGCCACCGTCAAAGCACCAGGGTAAATTATTCTTTCTTTCCCTCTGCTAGCTATGTTAATACCAACACGTTCCTGTTCAGTGGCTAACTGTCCTGTTAAGGCAGGAGTTTTGACTCCTCTCAGATTTTAGTGACAAGCGAATCAGTGAGATAGGACTAGAAGTTAGGGCTTCTGAAGAACTAGTGGTTTAAAAAGATGACTTATTTCTGGCTGAGTTGTAAGCTGAACACAAGAACAGTGTTAGATAAACCTGCTATGAAGTGTGCTTTCATTGACGTGAAGGGATAGAACTGCCTGGTTAACCACTTTTTAAATAATATTTCCTTTTTATAGGAGGAAGACTTTCAAGAAATGATTAAATCTGCACAGATAATGGAAAGTCAATATGGTCATCTTTTTGACAAAATTATAATAAATGATGATCTCACTGAGGCATTCAATGAGCTAAAAACAACTTTTGACAAATTAGAGACTGAGACCCATTGGATACCAGTGAGCTGGTTACATTCATAACTAAGAGGAATTTTCATAGAAGTCTTTTTTATAGAGTGCATGTTTAAATCAGTTGCCATTTTGGTGGTAGGGTTTTTTTAAATCTGTATCACTGTCATAGATGTACATTCTCGGTCAAAATCGGATGCCAGTTCTGTTTGTATCTTTTTACAGCCTTACTGGGAACACAACGTGTGACTCTAAGTTCTAAAAATCAAAATTTGCACATCCTGTGTTCTAAACAAAATCTTGTGGTTGTCTTTAATATAGTTCTGTGTTGTGAGGTTGAATTTTTAAAAGTGATGTAGCTAGAGACATCCAAGTTCTGCGCTTCACCTTGCCTCAGCTGTGGCTGCACCCATCTGTCCAGTCTGCACAGTGGAAGGTGAAGGTAACTCAGCACCTTGAGCAGCTCCAGACAGACAAGTAAGTCACTCTGCCACTTCCAGGTGAGTCATCACAGATCTCACTGGCCTGGCTGTTAGATGGAGACCTCGTACTATTCAAAAAGTTCAAATGTTTTCTTACCTCTACAAAATATGTTCACAATGTGTGCATTTAAAATTTTTTAAAGTGTAACTTAACATTCATCTTGAGTGAGTAGTCTTCATATTATAATATTACAGCTTGAGAAGTCCCAGTGAGCATATATCATGACTGAACACATATTTAATAAGGGAAAACAAACTTTTCTTGGATGGAGGTCTCACTGTGTTATCCAAGCTGGCCTAAAACTGAGATCCTCCTGCCTCAGCTTCCCAAGTAACGAGATGATAGGTGTGCACCACTGCACCCATCTGGGAAAAGTCTTTTAGGAGCTGTTATGAATGTAACTAAAAACCTTTCCTTGTGATATAAAAATGGTGTTAGCTTAGGACAGGAAATGTTTACAAAGGACATTTTTATATATAAGTCCTCAAGACACTTGTGTATTCACTAAAAGCATTTTGTTTTTAAGCTAGCTTTAGTTTTTCCCACTAAATTATAATGTGATCCTACCCTAAAATACATAAAACATTTTATGTGGTATTAATGATACAGTTAAGGAAAACGTGATCAATTTTTTAAATTGGTGCAGTTGATCACCATACATTTAAATTGTGCTAAGATGTGTTTTAGAAAACTTTTTATGTAGCATTAACATCTTTGTCAACAAGGTCGTTCTTAACACTGGTCAGATACCATCCCAACCTTGCCATTATAAAGAAGTTCCTGAAGGAGACTTTGATTGTAAATATTTAGATAGTATTGCTCATTTTTCTTGAATACTGCTGGTCTTGAATAAGTGAACTATACAGTTCAAAATAGTACAGATGTCCACATTTCCCATAAGGGAATGTGCCCTGCCATTCTTGCATGCAGTAAGATCCTGCTTATCGAAAAAATTATTGCATGTGTGACTTTCATAGAAAAAATTATTTTTTGCTGCTTTTAAAGACTTTAGATGTCATGTTTAAAGAACATAGAATGTAGGGAAATTTTATATATTTATGAACTATTTGAAAGGCATATTTTTTTAATTATGAAATGGGGCTACTCATAAAAAATTGATTGTATATAGAGATGATATAATTTAAAATAGTTTTATAAATTAAGGTCAACATTCCATGTAAATATTTGACCATCACACAGACAGATCCCTAAGTGTTTTATGTGCACTACTCATTTGGTAGCATTCTCCACTGGATTCCTTACGTGTAGAACAGAAACAGAAACTACTCCAATAGCCCTGATTACTCACTCACATCAAAATAGATAGATAATCAGACTAAATTACCTAACAACACAATCCAAATGTGTCCTAAGTTTGTTAATTAAATAGCAAGCCACTCAGTTTAGAAACAGTAAAAGTGAGGAGGAGGTTACCAGATCTCATACGAAGCCATGCTCTGAGGTTGTGTGGCTGGTCTACAACAAGTACAAGCCGTAAGTAGTGGGTTTGGTAGACTGTTCCATGCTTTGAACATTGACTGGAATTCCCAATAAAGTAAGAGTTCCTTGTACAAAGAATGGTGGGAAATGTATAACAATACTGGCAATTCTCTGCCTAATTTGGGCAGCTCACATTCGTTACTCTCAAATATTTACATAGATTTTTTTTTCTTCACTTCAGATAACCACCTCAGTTCTTTAATTTGCATGTAGCGATAGTGTAGATGGTAGAAACTGGGTCTTTTTAGGTGGTGGTGGTGATGATGGGTATGTTACAAAAATGCAGTTGTCCAGACCTCTTTCTCTTTTTAAAATCAGAACTGAATAATATTTTTAAAATAATGAAAGGAATTTTGAGAAATGGAATGGTAACATAGCCTTACACATGCTTTTTCTTGATGCTTAAAAAGAGATTCGATTACAATTTAATAAGACAGGGCCAACTCCAGGGCTTGCTGTTAACTGTAGTGAAAGCCCTTGGTCCTCTGCTTTCTGCACCTGCAGTGCCCCCTCACCAAGGAGGAAAGCACTGTGCCCCACTGAGCAGCCTGGTCCCAGACAGTGTCAGCCGCTACTGGACAGAAGAGGGAGGATTGAGGTTTCCAGTGTATACATATGCTTGAATATAGATTAAAATACACATATTTGAAATACATATATATGCATTCATTCCACAACCAAGAAGGAAATTCTGTGCCCCCAAAATTGACAAATCAGATTTGGTTACAAGTAAAAAGGTAAAACTGAAATATAATTTTCACTATACTTTTACTGATTCAATGTTTCTATCTTGGTATCTTTAAGGCTGACATTCCTGGCATTGTGTAATGATTGAATGTATCTAAATTGTAATCATTTAAAATTGACAAACATGTAAACTGCTCAGACTTATAAAACTGTGTTGTGAAAATCTTCCTGAAGATACAGATTTTTATTATTTATTTTCTTTTGGGACTAGGAAGGATTTATAAATAAATGAAATGGAAAATCTTTGATCTTAATAAAGTATCTTCAATCAATGTGTATACTTGCAAGTTGTTTTTATATTTCAGTATTCTAATATACTATTGTTATGCTCTATTCTGTTACAGTTTCCCATGATAGGACAAGTTCTTTTTTCTACTACAGTATTAAATGACTTATTTGAACTTCCCATACCTAAAATTAAATTTTACATATCTTTTTCAAACAGTGTTTTCATGGCGCTTGTTGGAGAGGTAGAATTCACACGTCTGTTTCTTAGCCGTGAGTAGCAGCAGTCTGTAGATGCAGAATAGAGTGGGATGGTGGTCCAGGACCTTTCATGATAGGTGTCTCTCCCTCCCCACCTGCTGTTCCCCTCCCTGTCATTCTCTTTCTGACCCAGTTATGCAGAACTTAACTTGTTCACTGATGCCTGTGAGAATTAACTGTCTTGTGCTCTTACAGACAAACCAATTAATATTGGCCTTGCTCCAGTAGTTAAGCCAGTTAGCTCCAGTTCTGCTTCCACAGAAAGACTGTACAAAGTACCATTTAAGGCTTTGGGATCTGAAATCAGAATTCTTGAGTTCAAGTTCCAATTTTGTCTGACATCACCTTTGCAATGGAGTGGGGAAAATACATTGAATGTCTCTAGTCTTCATTTTCTCATCAGGAAAATATGGATAATAACAATGATTACCTCATCGGACTGTTTTAGGCATAAAATGACAGAATCCATGTAAAGTTCTTAGAATAAAATATGGGATAGAAGCACCCAATAATTATGAGTGCGTCTTTTATAATCATCATTATCACATCACACAATTTAAAAATCAGTATGCAAATATTCTTAATCACTTTACACAAACAGTTCCCCTATTCATAAACTCATGAGAAGTTTCTAAAAATTCCTATTGTAAGCCTTATTATTTTAAAAAATCTGTTGCTTCCAACCAGACTATACATCAGGAACTAATTAGGTTATCCACAGTATAAAAGCAAACTTTTACTTTTAACCACTGAGGATGATGTTGTATACTTGATAAAACTTTGAAAAAAATGGCCCTTAATTGCTTCAAGCCTTTTCTGCTGCAGTTATCCTCCTTTTCTAAATGTTTTTCCAGTTACACTTAAGCTGTTATAAGGAAGAAAATAGTTTACTTTTATACCAGCGATCTTATACACCAACGCCAGCACAGCCAGTGCCTGACTGGGTTGTGTTTATTAGTCAATGGGAGGTCTGTATGATTTCCATACACTATCTCACTTAGTCTGCATGACTATCTTATATGGAAGATACTGCCTTCATATGTTATAGTTTAGAGAACTGAGGGAAAGGGCTTTGGTTCCTTGCCCGAGGCCACATACCAGCTGATGTGCAGTGGAACCAGGGTTTGAATCACATTTGTTTTCATCCAGCTCCTTGTTATTTTCACTACATTGTGCTTCCCCATGTTGCTGTAACTTGAGACAAAACTGGACACGGGGAAGAAATGAATAATTAGGGGAGTGATTGTTCATCTTTCTTAGGCATATGCAGTTTGCACATGGTTTTTTCAGGACTTGTTGCTTCAGTCAGAACTTGATAAATCTATGGTGTGTGAGTAAGTTAGTCCTTAAACAGTGGTTATAATCAGAAGCAAAAAAAATTGCATAATATGCAATTGTCTGTTCAGTCTGCTTGAATCTCAGTCCTTAGTGATGAGCCAGGATTGCTGTCAGTCATGACCATCACCTGCATGATTGATCTAAGATGGTTCTGCTACCTGCTCCAGATAATACCTTGACCGTTAGAGGACCAATGAGAAAGACGTGTGTCCCTGATTTAAACAAACAACTGCACGATGTGAAGATCCTTTATGCCCCATCCCCATTCTTCCTGTTTGTGATGCCTTAGTTATGTTGTCCTGCTTGTTTACAGGGCAACCATAATTCTAACCCTAAACCAGAGCATAGTAAAGGCCAGTCTTCTGAGGGTGACTGAGCAGAAAGAGATAAGAATTCTAAACCCATTACTTCATCGAGTTGCTAACCCAGTGTGAGACTTCTTCCCTCTGATTTTCAAATTAAAAATGTTATGATGGTCGAAGTCACTGTTTGGGTTATTGTTTACCTGCTGCCCAAAGCTCTCCTAATTAAAAGCAATTTCCACAAGCAGCACAGGTTCCTCCCAGTATCTACTTTCATTTACCAGGCTGTTGTCCTTTTGTTCAGCTGTCACGTGTCCTGCATTGACACAATTTTTGAGCTTTAAAATACTCTGGAACTTGTAGGGTGGGCCAAAGAAAGTAACACATTTAAATTTTATTTTCCTTCCATTCCACTTTTTTTTTTCCTCCACAATATATTAAATTAACCTTAAAATGCAAGTTTGGAGAAAGTTCTTAAAGTTTTTGGATTTACAAATTTGTCATAATTTTATTCTAATTTTATCAGTTACTCAAAATGTAAATTGAAAGGCTGAGATTACCAAACTAAACTGGAACTAATACTACCTATTTAATTATTTAATCTGATTTGGGCAGTAAAAATACAGTAAAAGTTACATTGTTGAGCCCTTGCTTTGAGCCAAGCTCCTTACTAATTATTTGTACAGAAGCTGTTTATGATCATCCACTTAAACACAGAAAAGGTGTAAGTGGAAATATATTTAAATAACTCTGGAAACGATGATTAAAAATAATTGCTGTAGATGCTAAATAAAAGCTATATATATAGCATATTAATAATACCTTTTAGATATATTGCTATCAGGAATATAGAGGATAACTGAGGATAGAAAGTATAAATACAAATGTACTTTAAATATAGTCAAATAATTTTTTTTTAGGAATTTGAAGACATTCACCAGTGGAAATAAAATTCAAAGAATCAAAAACAATTCAAGAAGTGAAATCATTTAAAACAAAACCACATGTATCTCTAAATTTAAATGGTATAAATTCAGGTACATCAAAAATGAAACCAACTGTTTTGAGAAGAAAAGGATTTCAGCTATGAAGATTGGCAACAACATGAAACAAGCAGAAAGCACAATAATAAACTTGAATTTAATATTCATTAATTGGGTCAAAAAGTCATTTAGTAATTACAGGCATAAGCCACAAAAGGAAGACTATTGAGACATAAAGAAAAAACTTGAGAAACAATCAGTAAAACCAAATTATTTGGTAATCTGTAAAACACTGTCATAAACTTTAAAGGAAAATGGTGATGGAAGGTTTGAATACCGTAATTCTTCAGGCTGATCTCATAGCCTATGGAAAGAATAGTTTTTATTCAAAAAAAATTTGTGCAATCAAATGACAGTGCCAGTACAAGATGTCATAACTTTTGGGACAAAATGAAAGCAGTCCTAGGAAGGTTTTGCAGTCAAGGCTCACAGTAGAAAAAACGAGCTCAACTAACCTAATGATGAGCCTCAAGATACTCAAAAGACAACAGTAATCCAAACTCAAACCCAATTTAAAGAGGGAAATCATAAAAATCAGAGCAGAATTTACCAAAATGGAGACTTAAAAAAAAAAACAAAAGAATTGAGCTGGTTCTTTGAAAGAAAAAAATAGATAAGCCCTAGCCAAACTTCCAAAAGAGGGACAAGACATCAGTACAATTAGAAATGCAAAAGGTAAAGTCACAAGGCACACCATTGAAATTCAAAAGATAGTACTATGAGAAATCATTCCAGTGAATTGGAAGATCTTGAAGACATGGACAGATTCCTAGACTCCTACAAATTACCAAAACTAAACCAAGAAGGCATAAAAATTCTAATCCAATAACAAGCAATAATATTGAGGCAGTTTAAAAAAACCTACCAACTAAGAAAAACCCAAACCTGATGGATTGACTGCTGAATTCTATAAGATCTTTAACAATGTTATAACTCCAACACTCCTCACTCTTTAATGAAATCGAAAGGGAAGGAGTGCTTCCAGACTCATTTCTTGAAGCCAGGACCACTCTTGATCTCCAAGCCAGACGAAGACTTATCTGAAAAAGAAAACTACAGGCCAATATCCTTAATGAACATAGATGCAAAAATGCTCAATGGGATATTGGCAAATAGACTGCAGCACATCATCAAAAGGATCATTCATCACAACCAAGCAGGTTTTATCCCAGTTGCAAGGATGGTTCAACATATGCAAATCAGTAAATGTAATACACCACATAGAAGCAAAGACAAAAACCACATTACATCAATAGATGAAGAAAAACCTTTTTTGCAGAATCCACCCATTTATGATAAAAGCCCTGAAGAAAATAGGCATTGAAGGACCTTACCTGAATTTAATAAAAGCCATTTATGACAAACCAACTGCCAACATCATATTAAATGGGAAAAAACAGAAAGCCTTTCCTCTCAAATCCAGAACAAGACAAGGATGTCCACTATCACCACTTCTAGTCAACATAGTCCTCAAAAATTAGGTCAGTCAGGCAAGAGAAAGAGGATACATAAAGGAAAGGGAGAAGTCAAATTATTATTTGCAGATGACACTATCCTCTACATAGAAGACCCCAAAATTCCACCAAAAGACTTGTAAATTCAGCAATATAGCAGGATACAAAATCACACAAAAAGCTTTAGCATTTGTGTACACCAATAGTGAACTCTATGAGAAGGAAATTATGAAAACACTATCATTCACAGTAGCTTCAAGAAAAGTGAAATACCTAGGAAATAACCAAGGAAGTAAGAGACCTCTATAAGTAAACAAACTACAGTATGATGAAAAAGGAGACTGAAGAGGATATCAGAAAATGGGAAGATAGCTCCTCTTCCTGGATAGGCAGAATCAATATTGTCAAAATGTCCATACTTCCAAAACTGATAGATAGATTTAACTCAATCTCAATCAAAGTATTTAGACCTCTCCTCACAGAACTGTAGAAAACAATACTAAAATTAGTAAGGAACCAGAAGAGGCCTAGAGTACCAAAAGCAATCCTGGACAGCAAGAACAGAGCAAGGGGCATACAATACCTGATTTTAAATTATATCACAAAGCTACTACAGCGATAACAGCATGGTTCTGGCACAAAACCAGACATAT